TCCCTGCCAGAGCAATAATGTATCAATTAAGATATGTCCTCTGTCCTTAACGCTTCTATAGTTTTCCCAACCCAGTTTAGATTTGACCACGCCCACTTCTGCATTACGAAAGCATTGCCCAGCGTCAGAGTATCACCTTTGGCTTTTCCATCTCATGAAATATGAATTTGAAAGCTACAGTCTCTTCATAGTGCATATTTTTTCAAAGTAAAATAACGCTTTTTATTATGACTGACCGGGCCGCAGAGAGGCGTACTTAAAGGGGACCTATCATGCAAAATGCACTTTTGTACGTCTTTTATACATGAATATGTGTCCCCGGTGTTCCAGGGAACTCACTAAGTGTCAGAAAACACAACCCTCTCTATTTTCCTCCATACCCAAATCTCTAAAAAAGGGGCTGCAACGGATCTGATAAAAACTGATCCAGATTTGAACACTGTCCTGACGTCAGGACGGTGGCCAACTCTCCACCTATCAGGGGAATGTGGGGTTGGGCCACGGCCGGCCATTGCCGCTCGAAAGCGCTGGAGACACTGTAGTACATATGCCAGGCCTGTAAGTGGCACTGTAGTCTGCCACAAAAGCAGCGAAGAAGACTTCCCGCGTATGGTTACCATGGTTACCCTTCTGTTTATTCTCCGCTGTGGCTTTTTTTCTCCCTCCCCGAGGCAAGCGTTTGCTCCTGCTGCTTTAATTCAATGCAATCCCTCCCCGTCGAGGCAAGCACTGTAATTCTCTCCGGTTAGTCCACCAGCAGATGACAAACACCCACCTCTCCGCCTCTTCCAAGGAACGAGGGGACCGTGCGGCAGAGTTTCAGTTAGGTTTTTTTTCGCCGGTCAAGATGTCCGTTAAAGTTTAAATCTTCCGGACAAAATTAGAAAAGTGCCGGTCAAAGGTCTTCTTTGTTATTTATTGAGCTTTAAAACAAATAAATAACGACTCTATATAATAATAGGCTATAATAAAACACGGAGGACGGAGATCTATTTTTCTCCCCCTCTTCTGACTTGATCAGAGCGGCTCCCCTCTCCTGCAGGGGGGCGTGGTCAGCTGCAGCTCACAGAATCAGCCCCCTGCAAAAACAGTGCTCACATAGAGCGAAATAAGGCATGGCTAAAATGCATGATCTGTTTGGTATTTTGAAAACAGAAACGTATAAATATACCTTATATAGGTATGGCCCTACAATATATCATTTAAATATAGCATGATAGGTCCACTTTAAATAATAGTTTGTGGTCTGATAAACAGTAAATTAATTCAATTTAGCAGCCCATACTGTATAGTTTATCCCAAGTTGGAGTAGACTTGATATACTGTAACTTGAGCGGTGGTTAGAAAGGAATGGTGACGTTTTTATACCTCCATGAAGCACGGACAACGTCAATGCTTATGTGGTCGTGGTCAATTATAAACTGGGATTTGGAAAAACGATGCGTCGTTATCGCTAAAAGTTGATGATGGGATGAAACGATATAAAAGAAATTGACGTCATGAAAAGATATTGGATCTTTACATAAAAATAACAATTATTCATGTTAATCCACATTTATGTGTCTTCTGCAAAGGGTTAAAGGTCCCATGTCATGCTTTTCCGGTTATTACCCGTCCCCTTGTGTGTTATGAAGGTTTTTATGCATGTAAACGGTCTGCAAAGTCACAAACCCTCAAAGTACACCCTGTAGCGAGTAAAACTCTAACACAGAAAAGACCTGTCTATGCTGCCCCAGAACGCCTCGTCGGAGATTTCTCTTTTTCCATTGTATTCTTTCTGGTTACAGTGATGTGCCCATATCCAAATGGACCCATTGGTCCAAATGGACCAATCTGTGGAGCTCCTCACACACACACTCTCTCAGCGGCGAAACTGTGACACACTGGGGGGGGGGGGGGTGCTAGTGGAGCCTTGTAGATGGGGGTGCTGCAGCCCCCTCAGCATCCCCCCTTCCCATGTTCATTCGCGATGTCTCGCTGTCTCGCAGATCCCACGCAGCAAGCAGGAAAATAACCCAGCTCACACTGTCCGCTCCTCGCAGTAGCGAGCAGCGCAACGTCCCGCCAACACGGCACCCAGACCCCACGCAGCATTCTCATCTGTTTGTCCTTACTGGTGTCATTTTCTGGTTGCTAACGCCATTGTAATACATAATTACTGATGTTCCGCTGTAACGGTGGTAGACCATAGTGGTAGACTCATCAGAACAGAGTGGGCGAGCTGACCAATCAGAGCACAGTGGGCTCACAGGGAGGGGGGTTGGGGGCAGGAGCTCCAACAAGCCGTTTAGGACAGAGAGTGAATACACATACAGTACTATACAGAGATGCTGTATGAGAAACCAATGTGAGTTTGGAAAATTGCACAATATGAATCTATTCTAGTAGACCTCAACAATGGAATGATGATCAGTAGAAATGGCCATGACATGGGACCTTTAAGCAATACCATGGCCCTGTACTTGATGAATTTGTGAACTGATGTGATCATTTGACTCCAAAGTAATTTGGCTTCGACTAAAACATGATTATTGAAGCAGGCGTCATCCCAAAGCCCCTGCACCATGTAAGCCAGGGGAAGCAGTTCAGCAAAGGTTAGTGTTTGGGCAATGTCCAAGAGGGGAAGCTAAAAAATAAAATCAAACTGGAAAAAATGTATGTGACTGATGATTACTGTTGCTACTCTCTGCTTCCTTCAGCAACTGTATAACGTGGGGGTCAAAAAGGCAATTGTTTTGGACCCTCAACATCTTTGAATGTTCCCCTTTGTTCCATCTACAATTGCTTTTTTGAACAAACTATGACGCAAGATGTCATGTCATTGCATCTTCTTTTAGAATGATTCATGATTACATTATAGGAGATATGGATCTTATGCTGGGTTGTGTATGATGCATTGTGTGTTGTGACTGATATATGGTATGTCTGTCTAACATACCCATCTCTAAAGCAAATTGCCACTGGGCATATTAAAGACTTTTAAACTTGGATTTTAGATCTCATTGAAATATTTAGACCCACAAATGACTGACAGTACTTTCTTCAAGGTAAAAGTATCTATTTTCTTCACTGAATTTATATTTCAAATATTAATTAAGTATTTTAAATCCTATCCCTTTTGTTCTGTTTGTTAAACATAATATAGACATTACATTTGAATGATGATCCTTCATATGTAAAGTAAGTATCACAATGATGAGACCTGTCAGGCTCATTTAGAAACCATCCTGTATTTTTCAAAGATCTGAAAGCAGCTGTTTCTTTGCTCTTCACAGTTTTGAAAATGACTGGGATTTCATCCAACAGCAGTATACATCTCTTTTATATCCTCTTCAGAAGCCTCTAAATCGCAGCATCTCCTCTGCTTGAGTTCACCTCCAAGTAGTCAAAAGTAAAAGAGAAAAAGTAGTTACAGAATTGATGGAAGTGATTCCAATCAAAACCATTCTGAAGTCTCTAATCTATCACAGGGCTGTCTAACGTACCTTTTCGAGAACAAATTTGGAAGCCGCTCAGCTCTATGCGTCTCCAATTTGTCGGAGTGACCCATTGACGGCTCTTCAATTATGCTGATCAATCAACATGAAGAATCACCGTTGGACTGATCAATCCTTTCAACCGCAGCCTTGTTGTGATTGACAGGCCAATCGACTAGAAAATCTTCAGAGCAGGACATCTTGGACTGACAAGCAGATGGACTCAAAGAGCAGAGTTGTGCTGTGATATTGACAACTAACTGCTGAAATGTAATCTGTCTGACTGTAACATTGATTTGTGTAGTTGTGCAGGTGGAGCGGCATCAATAGTAATTCACAATTTCTGGCCCTCAAATTTCCATCCGATGGTTTGCAGTTAGCAGGAATGACTAGATTTTTCTTTTTTACAGTTTAAGACAGCACTGAAGCTAATTGTGCACTGCAACATTTTCCGCAATCAGTGATGTTTCAATTGCCGTCAGCAAGACCCCTGCCTCAAACATGGAATCATATCTTAGCAACCGTATCCAGGCACAGCAGGTCTTTCAGGCTCTGGATTTCTTCACATGCTGGAGTGGTGTGCGCATCGGGTTGTATAAAGTGCTGTACTGTTTAAAAAGAGGAATGAGCTTTTTTTTTATATTGTCAAAACCAAAACCACAAGAGCGAAAATGTGAGGAATCGGTTAACGGTTTACAAATACCTTGATATGGGCAACTTATGTAACATTGTCTGGAGTTTTTGGTCCCAGGTGCTATTTACTAAAATATCTGACTTTAGGGTAATGTGAGAGGTCCTGTCCTGATCTCTATTTACTTGAGGTAAACTCATCACGCTGTCCCCATTATTCTGTTCCCATGTTTATGAAGCAAACTGTTAGAACAACCTATCAATAAGGCATAAAGCTAATCTTTGTGTTAATGGTCAAAGTTACTTATCATATGTCTATATAGCTTAGCATCAATAATATAGTATTATGATATAACAGTGTAATTTCAGGAAGAAATAACAGTCTTATAATACATTTTCTCTTATATTGAACTGAAGCACTATAGGCAAACTAGCCACCCTGAAAAACAAGGCTGTGGTTCCTGGATCTTAAAAACTAGTAACAGTTAAGCTAATAGCATGCACTAATGTAGCTTAGCTTCAGTCTAAACTACATGAATGTAGCCAATGGAGGAATATTTATGATCCCATTTGTGGAAAAAGTCAGTAGGAGATGGATTTATCACTGAACGTTAATGTTAGCTAGGTAGCTAGCTTGTAGTAAAAGATAATAACATGGCTTGCTCAGCCACAAATTCTTCAGTAGAAAAATCAACTGTTGTCAGCTGGAAACAAGAAACCTACATGTGTCTGAAATCAAGGAACCATTGTGAAAAATGACGATGACCTGGTTGATGGTTGGTTGTAAATTTCACATGTTCCGTTCAAAAACAGAAAGCTAGGTGTAGCAACAAAACCTAAGGAGGATGGGGTTTGTAAAGTTGGTGACTGATCAATGTGTGCCCAATGTGTTACCTTGACCAATTCCTTCTGAGGCCAGATCTGGATGGGTTCCACCTGCTGGGGCGTCTGAGTCTGGATGCCGTAGGTGTTCAGAAACACCTGAAGTCTTCACATAAAGACACAAAATTACAATATCACCTTTATAATCCAATATAATATACAACATTCTTTGTTTTATTATCTTATCTACAGACAACAATTCTCGCAAAAATGTAAAAAGAAAATATAGTCATTCAAATAATTTATTTTCAGAAAATGTAAACTAGTCAAAATAAAAACAAGCAGTTGATTCAGACCTTGAAAAACCTCAGAAGAGTTTAGAAATTAATATCTGGCTGATTTACAATGTTGGGGGACTTTATGACCCCCCTGGCGCAAACCTTCAAGCAGCACAGATTTGTTTGATGGCTTGTGACTATCCATTTTTATCTTCATGATTAGTGAGGTTTTCAATTGGGTGCAGATGCAGAGCTGTACATGTAGTTGTTGTCATATTTACATCACATGATCCCTGGAGGATAAACATGCCTTTTATACCATTCTGGCTGTTGCCCTTTACCTTTTGTAAATACGCATATGATTCTGTAATTGCCTTGAAGCTACAGGACACATGTGTCAATAGAAGGTTAAAACATCTATTGGTTTTAGATTCTTGTAAATATTAAACTCATGTAAATCAGGTCCATTGTAAATTGTTATCTATTGTAAGGCTATAGCTGTTAGAGCTGATGATGAACGAGTCCGTTGGGCCTTTACAGCAGCAGTATTTTGAAGCTACAGGTTACACACACACACACCCACGCTCTCACACACACACCCACGCTCTCACACGTGTATCCAGGTGTACACACACATGCATATTCAGACAGAAATTATGCTCACAATGAGAAGAGTGACAGACGATGGCAAAGGTCAGGGAAAGCTCAAGCCATAAGAGCTTGCCACAATTACAGCACTTAAGACCTGGCCTGCAACACATAAAAAATACACACATATACACACACACATTACCTCTGGCTTTCTGCGATCAGGGCCACTTGAATCACAACATCGTTCTCTATGGGACCCTGTGAAAGAGACAGAGAACAGAGAGGTTAACATGTGGACTACATATTGCATATGATGCATCAGTGAATGCATTTAAAGAAATGTATGTTAGGTCTATTCATTTCAAAATGAATACTGATGAAAGAATGACATATTTGCAGTATTGTAAATAAAAAGTGTCTGTGGCGACATTTGAGGAAAAAAATGCTGTACTAATGCAACTGCTGGGGCTTCACATTAAAAACATTTGACTGATAAGATTAAATGTAGTTTATTCATCCCACATTTGGAAGTTTTGTTGCGGCAGCAGCATGTTAACCTGTTAAGCCCTGAGCCTGTTTTTCCGGTCTCAGGCTCGAAAATGACATTCCCAGAACAAACCATATCTTCCCTTCTAAAAGGGTTAAATTAATAATCTTTTTTCTCAAAGTAATGATAAACCTCTGAGTTCGATGTAGAAAAGTCAGAATCAATATAGATGTTTTTGATTTTAAAGAAAATTCAGATTTTACATAGTAAAAAACTGTAAATTATAGTGTCCGTCCAAAAATTCTTTTTTACTTATAGTGAAAACTACTCTTGGATGATGGTAAGGTAGACTAAAAGCTTTAGGAATCCAAAGTACAACATATAATAAGTACCCTGTATCAAGATTGATGCAAAACAAGTGACATTTGACCTTTTTAGAGAGGTTTAGCAAAAATCGATTCGATTGATCTCAATCAATAAGGCATGACGCAGATCCAACGTTTCGTTGCTCTGATTGGCTGTAGGTCTATTCAAATTGCATTCGGAGGCATTTTGATCTGACCGCGGCCGCGGTGTATAGTGTATAAAACTCCCCCACTACTTAGACTATTCCTTGCACCCCTCTTATAGCATAAGCCCGAATGGTCTCAACCATATTGCATCAGTAAGGTGCACTTGTTGTTACAGCAGGATCAGTTTGTGTGCTGTGGACACGACCCGTATATTTTCGCAATCCGTGTTCTCAACATTTAGCATTTCGCTTATTATTTAATTGAATTTGCATCACTTTTCATGGTGGGGCTATGGTGGGGCTAAGCCATTTCTTGGTATGGCTGTAGCCTACCCCAGCCATACCCTGGCGCCGCCACTGACGAAGGGGGAGTCCCCCACACACACTCATTGTGAAGAGAAATGGTGGGGGCTTCGTGCATGTCATTTTTCATCAGAGTGAACCTATCTCTAGCTTTGACATCTGGAAACGGAAAAGCAGTTTTAATGCTTATGGATTATCAGAAATCATTTCAAAGGGACACAGACACATTGGATTAACCTATGGATTAACTTCAGCAGCGTTTTTATCGTTTTAATGCCATTGAAGACCACTTTGGAGAGACTACAGAGCAAAGGTAAAAATGTTAGCATTTTTAGCTACCTAGCGTCACCTGTTTTGATGTCCGTTTTTGCTTATAACGTCGCCATTTCGTATAATTCAGTGATAATGTGGGTGTCCAAAGATTCTGTGTCACCTCACGATGTGAAACGATGTCATGGATGTAGAGAAGAGATAAATAATAAGGTTTTGTGAGTGATTTTCGGTGCAGTAAGGTGTTAGCATTTTTCGCTCGTTGCTAATTCAGAGGCTCAGTGTTAGCATTGTGGGTTTTATTTTGAAAAAAAAAAAAAAAAGATCAGTTAGATGAGTTTCTTCCCGTTACATGGATATAAAACATTCATAGTTTATTAAATGAACATGCCCTCAGACACTGTTTCCTGCAAGATGTTGCGGCAGTGCCCTGGTACCGGGGTCTCTCGGGCTTAACAGGTTAACAGGCATTACACGAGTTAATGATATAACAACATTTTAAAAAGAAATACAAAAATAATAAATTAAAAGATAAACATAAACAGTAAATATATACATATCAACAGTAGAAAATATATATATATATATCAATAGAGAATCTAAAAGAATACACATTATAAAATATACATAATACATTTGGATACTATTTCATTAGATGAAACACAAGTTGACTTTTATTCTGAAGGAGGTATTGCAATGTGTTTGTCAGTGAGTTTGACATTGACCAATATTGTTCATCAAAAATGAGCGGTCATTTTGGGCGTTTTCTGCCAGTTCTAAATATAGCTGTTAGATGCAGAACTGTAGTTGACAGGCTGCACAACTCCAACTTCTCAAACAGGTAACCATACACCTTCACTTTCGCAGACTTATGACTATATTGAAAAAAAAAAAAAACACGTCTGTGGTTCCCGGGATAAATGGATGTCTATCTATCAGTTGTTCAATGGTTTGATCCTTAGTCCCTGCAGTCAACATGTCAAAGTGTCCTTGGGAAAGACATTTAACCCTTAATTGGCATGTTCTCATTATCATCAGTAAATAATGTTTTGTAAAAACAACCAGCACTGAGATCTTAAAGACTGCTACTTCAACTGTTATTGTGGTTCTATTTTTCTTGTACATCAAACATCCATGCCAATAAAGGGAACCGGAAAATGAGAATTGATTTGTGTATATATGTGTGAGAGAGACTAGAGGAAGAGACAGTGTTTGAAATCAAAATTCAACTCACTCCTGTATAAAATGACAGTAGCCCGTGTTATTGCTGCCTCCTCTCTCACGCAATTTAAATGAAATAAAACTGTGAATAACCAACTAAGGTTGATGAGACGCAGGAGCGCTCCGAGAGAAGGAGCTAGATATTAAAAGGCGAGGGAGATGTAAAGAGCAGAGAGGGATAGAAACATCAGATGTTTTTGTTTCATCGTTTTTTCGCACACACAGGGAGATGGGTTGAAATAACATGAAATAGAGACAATGAATACACAAATAAAGAGGTGCGAATCATGGCATTTATGATACATTCTGTTCCATAAGTATAAAAATGAAAAACTGTTTGATAACTATTTACACAATAATTTAAAGCCTGCATTTCTACCTCGTTGTGAGGACTTTCTGCCTTTCTTACTTTGATATCATTTTGCTTAACATCCCTTGAGAAGAGTGACTATGACTTATGATCAGTAATATCTGAATGGGTCACTGGGTTTTAGCATTCATTTTGGCATGCTACAGTAATATTATAACCATTGGTGGCTGCACAATAAGTCATCTTCAGATTACCACAGTGTCGTTCTGGTTGAGGTTCTGTTTTGTTTGCCTTGATCTCATATTACAACCATTTAGTTAACTGTGATAATTATGAGATGTAAGTTAAACAAAACTACTGCTGCCCAGTCTAGCTGAAATTGCTTTGAATATTTATATATAAATATTTATATATATATAGGAGTATAAATATTGTATGTGAATAACAGACTGTGAACTCAGAGACTGTGAGAAAAAAGTCTTCAATTTAAATAAATAAACCTAATTCTCATTCTGTTAATGTCTTTTCATACACCCAAGGGTCAGAGCCAAAGAAAGCTAAGTTGAATAGCCTTTTCCTTATTGTTTTTGTAAAGTTTTACAGTTGGGCCACCAAAAATGTAGTTTACAAAAATGCTTGATGAATTGTGCTAAATGTGTGCCTTCGATGGACCTCGGGGCCAAATGCTAAAATGTACCTGATTCTAATCTTTACCAAGATCCCTCTCGCATAAGCAATATAAGTCCTTTATGGTCAAATACAGATTAATAAAACAATATGTGTCTTTGTGATGATTGGGAATAATGTAAACATCAGGATATCCAAATAATATTTGTGGTGGGATAACTCAGAAGAAATTGATCTTGTTTCGGATATAATAACAAAACCTTTTATATGCGTAATATTTGTGCTTTGAATGATAATATTCATTACAAAAACAACATTTGAGAGAATGTTTTCCCAATATTCCAAATGAGCCAGTTAATCAGCTGTCTTCGCATTGTATCAATTTCCATCTCCAACACATCTAATATTTGTATTAACTAAGAAACCTACTCAAAGATGCCTCTTCACAATGTACTGTAACAAGACAAAAAAACACAAGATGTGTAGTCATCAAACTGCAAAAGGATGAATAAAAAAGAACAAAATAAAGGTAAAATAAATACTTGCATCGGCTGTATAGTAAAAGAGTAACACTTTTCCATCTCAAAATATGAAAAAGAAAAGAAAAGACAGAACTAAAGCAATAAAGCACATGGAATCCTATTGATTTCATAACTGTGGCCTCAGAGGTAGTCCTTTAAGGCAACACTTTATAGCACTACAACAACAACAACATAAAGTCTCTATTGGCCAAAATGGAGTAACACATCACTCAGTGCCTGCAGTGCGAATGCAGTGAACCAACATGAAAGCAAGAAAACACAGAGAAGAAAGGAAGAAAAGAGGAAACAAGCAGTCATTTCAAAGGTGCTCTCTGCAGTATCTCAGACCTTATGGGCTTGTCTTGTAGTGGAATACAACATGAAGAATAAATCACATGCAAATATATTGAAAGAAACAGAATTTGTCTTTCAAAAGTCTGTTTTGTGTTTTGGAATAGACTTGATATTTGTACCCAATCACTATTACCTTTAGCAAAGAAAGACACATATTTACATACATTTAAATTAATGTCTTTTTACTATCCCTTTTATTCAGGACAGATGTATTTGTGCTAACCAGTCTGCATTTCTGTCTTTCTATTGTGCTCCTTCCTATCCAAGAGTTGTGTGTATTGTTATATTTATGCGCATGTAAATGTCTCTCTGTGGGTGTCCTTTGTTGCCTTTCATCTTCTTGTTCTTTATTTGTAGAAGTACCATTAAATGTGTAATTTGTGTGTGTATTTGTGTGTGTGTGTGTGTGTAAGTGAATTGTATGCAGAGACGATCATCTTCAATGCGCTGAGTGACGGTATATTCAGGGACATGTAGGAAGCAGGCTTGTGACGCACAGGAGCAGCGGCCTTTCATCTTGTTCACATTGTGGACACACACACACACACACACACACACACACACACACACACACACACACACACACACACACACACACACACACACACACACACACACACACACACACACACACACACACACACACACACACAC